CCTCTCATCTCCCCCCCCTCTCTTTGGAGTCTGAGAACGACCAACATTGAGCAACAAAGCATTTATGTGCATTGTGGAGATTGCACTAGTAGGGAGAGCACCCATCTGCTCTCACCTTCTCCCCTCACTCCTCTCACCTCCTCTCTCTCTCTCTCTCTCTCTCTCTCTCTCTCTCTCTCTCTCTCTCTCTCTCTCTCTCTCTCTCTCTCTCTCTCTCTCTCTCTCTCTCTCTCTCTCTCTCTCTCTCTCTCTCTCTCTCTCTCTCACTCTCACTCTTCCCTTACACTTACAATCTACATTTTATTTCTTTGGCATATTAAGCACTGCCAACAACCACCCACACGCACGCACGCACGCACGCACGCACTCTCTCTCACTCAGACACTCAGCTAACACAGGGTCCGGTGGCTGACTGGACAGCACACTGGACACGTGATCCTGTGGTCGCGGGTTCGATTCCCGGCGCCGGCGAGAAACAATGGGCAGACAGAGTTTCTTTCACCTTGATATGCCCCTAGCTGTTACCTAGAAGTAAATACGTACCTGGGAGCTAGTCAGCTGTCACGGGCTGCTTCCTGGTTGTGTGTGTGTGTGTGTGTGTGTGTGTGTGTGTGTGTGTGTGTGTGTGTGTGTGTGTGTGTGTGTGTGTGTGTGTGTGCGCGCGTGTGTGCGTGAGCGCGCTAAGCCTTACCCATCTAGTACCCTGGAACCCGACCCGTCACTCGACTAACAACCAGGCACTCAATCACTGCCACCTGAACACGCCCAAACACTTAAGGATTGGCACCCCAAACGATCCCCTATTTTGCCAGGATTCGAACCCTCACCCAATAGCAACGTAGCCAAACATCTACACAACTACAAGTGTAGATACTACTAAATAAATCCTGGTCCAGAGAGCTGGAGCCCGACCCTCCAGGGCACCAATAGGCGAGTACAGCCACTCACGATCGATACCCATTAGCATAAGACACGTCGTCTTAGACGGACGATAAAACAAATCCCCGGGTAATCCACACCAAGGGACCGCCCCCCCCCTGCCCCCCCCCCACACGCCTTCCTCAAGGAACTAAACCAAAAAACAAGAGAGCATCGACATTACAAGTAAATCCTGCCGGAAGATCCCTCCAGGGGGAAGAATCCAGTCCTCTTCCTTGTGTGTGTTGCGTGAATGTGCGTGTGTTTATGTGTGTGTGTGTGTGTTTACTCATCTAGTTGTGCTTGCGGGGGGGGGGGGGTTGAGCTGACCCTCGCTAGCTTGAGGTTAAGGCCAAAGCGCTTCGGGGTCTTTGGTCCCGCCTCTCAACCGTCAATCAACTGGTGTACAGGTTCCTGAGCCTACTGGGCCCTGTCGTATCTACACTGTAAACAGAGTGTGGCGTCCTCCTCCACCACATCACTGCCTAGTGCATTCCAGTTGTTAACTACTCTGGCCCTGAAAATCTTTCTGATGCCTCTGTGGCTCATGTGGGTACTATAGTACCCCCTGTGTCCCCTTGTTTGAGTACCACCTGTGTCCCCTTGTTTGAGTAGCCCCTGTGTCCCCTTGTTTGAGTAGCCCCTGTGTCCCCTTGTTTGAGTAGCCCCTGTGTCCCCTTGTTTGAGTAGCCCCTGTGTCCCCTTGTTTGAGTACCACCTGTGTCCCCTTGTTTGAGTAGCCCCTGTGTCCCCTTGTTTGAGTACCACCTGTGTCCCCTTGTTTGAGTACCACCTGTGTCCCCTTGTTTGAGTAGCCCCTGTGTCCCCTTGTTTGAGTAGCCCCTGTGTCCCCTTGTTTGAGTAGCCCCTGTGTCCCCTTGTTTGAGTACCACCTGTGTCCCCTTGTTTGAGTACCACCTGTGTCCCCTTGTTTGAGTACCCCCTGTGTCCTTGTTTGAGTAGCCCCTGTGTCCCCTTGTTTGAGTACCACCTGTGTCCCCTTGTTTGAGTACCCCCTGTGTCCCCTTGTTTGAGTAGCCCTGTGTCCCCTTGTTTGAGTACCACCTGTGTCCCCTTGTTTGAGTACCACCTGTGTCCCCTTGTTTGAGTACCACCTGTGTCCCCTTGTTTGAGTAGCCCCTGTGTCCCCTTGTTTGAGTACCACCTGTGTCCCCTTGTTTGAGTACCCCCTGTGTCCCCTTGTTTGAGTACCCCCTGTGTCCCCTTGTTTGAGTACCACCTGTGTCCCCTTGTTTGAGTACCACCTGTGTCCCCTTGTTTGAGTAGCCCCTGTGTCCCCTTGTTTGAGTAGCCCCTGTGTCCCCTTGTTTGAGTAGCCCCTGTGTCCCCTTGTTTGAGTAGCCCCTGTGTCCCCTTGTTTGAGTAGCCCCTGTGTCCCCTTGTTTGAGTACCCCTGTGTCCCCTTGTTTGAGTAGCCCCTGTGTCCCCTTGTTTGAGTAGCCCCTGTGTCCCCTTGTTTGAGTAGCCCCTGTGCTAAATGTTGTATCTGGACTCCTGCTCCCTACACTTGTTTTCATTATGTTACACTTGCTGGAGTTCAATTCTAGAAGCCATTTGTTCCTTCAGTTTGCCCAGGTTATCAGGGACAAGCTGTCTTCTTGCTGTCCTCCTGTCTTAATCCTTCTTATAAGTTTTGTATCGTCAGCAAACAAACATCGAGAACAATGAGTCTATAACTTTGGAAGATCATTGACGTATGTCAGAAATTGGTTAGGTCCGAGTACAGAACCCTGTAGGACTCCGCTGGTGCCATCCTGAACTCTCACCCTATACAGTAACACACTGTTTTCTGTTGCTTAGGTACTCCCTTATCCCCTAAGCACCTTACCTGTTACTCTTACCTGTTCCTCCAACTTATACATTATAGTCTCAAACGCTGTGTCAAATGCTTTCTGACAGTCCAAGAAAATGCAGAGAATATCCCTTCTCTTTCTTGATTAATTTTTATCACTTGGTCGTAGAATTCTATTAATCCTATGAGGCACGATTTGCCAAGTTGGTGGTGTGGTTCAAGGCTTCTTATTTTGCTCCATGTTCTACGAGCTTTTCCCTCACGATCTTCTCCATCACCTTGCATAGTGTACAAGTTTGGGACACTGGCCTGTAGTTCAGTGCCTCTTGGCTCTCACCCTTTTGTGTATACTGGGACTACCTAGGCAGACTTCCAACTTTCTGGTAGGTCTCTTGTTTCCAGCGACTTATTATTCACCATAGAGAGTGGCACACTTAGTGCCTCTGCACCTTCATTTAGCATCCATGGTGAGAGCATGTCAGGCCCAACAGTCCTGCAGACACCACCTAATATCTCTGGCAATTTCAAAAGCTCCCGAAGGCAGCCTGGATTATTACAACCTCTCTTAGTTCGGGGATTTCTCTTTGCTCTGTTGACAGGACCTCCTGGAATCACTTACTGTTGACTTCTTCACACACCTCCTTGTCATTCTCTGAGTACCTGTCCTCCTCTGTTTTCAATTTCATCACCAGTCCTTTCACTGCCGTCATTCTCCTGATGTGACTTTGGAGCAGGTTTGGTTCGGTCTTGGCTCTATTTATTATGTCATTTTCCTACTGTGTGTGTGTGTGTGTGTGTGTGTGTGTGTGTGTGTGTGTGTGTGTGTGTGTGTGTGTGTGTGTGTGTGTGTGTGTGTGTGTTTTAGAATAACATTTGATATTCTAATTCAATTACAGAGGATTCCAACCCCGGTCGATCCCTTGATTGAACGGATTCCGACTCTGTTTTAAATAAGAAAGGAGACATTAAAATCAATTTCAAAGAGATTGATCCGTGGGAATCTCTCGCAATAAGTAGTTAGGGACGCCTGTCGGGGCCAGAGAGAGAGAGAGAGAGAGAGAGAGAGGAGAGAGAGAGAGAGAGAGAGAGAGAGAGGAGAGAGAGAGGGAGAGGAGGAGAGAGAGAAGAAAGAGACAGACAGACAGACAGACAGACAGACAGGACAGGCAGGCAGGCAGGCAGACAGACAGACAGACAGACAGACAGACAGACAGACAGACAGACAGACAGACAGACAGACAGACAGACAGAGAAACAGAGAGAGAGAGAGAGAGAGAGGAGAGAGAGAGAGAGAGAGGAGAGGAGATAGAGAGAGCGAGAGGAGAGATAGAGAGAGAGAGAGAGAGGAGAGAGAGAGAGAGACAGACAGACAGACAGACAGACAGACAGACAGACAGACAGACAGACAGACAGAAGACAGACAGACAGACAGACAGACAGACAGACACACACGACAGACAGACAGACAGACAGACAGACAGACAGACAGACAGACAGACAGACAGAGAGAGAGAGAGAGAAGAGAGAGAGAGAGAGAGAGAGAGAGAGGAGAGAGAGAGAGAGAGATAGAGAGAGGAGAGAGAGAGAGAGGAGAGAGAGAGACAGAGACAGACAGACAGACAGACAGGCAGGCAGGCAGACAGACAGACAGACAGACAGACAGACAGACAGACAGACAGACAGACAGACACACAGACACACAGACAGACAGACAGACAGACAGACAGAGAGAGACAGAGAGAGAGAGAGAGAGAGGGGAAGCAAAGATGGGGATGAGAGAGGTCTTAGTATTGGAGCCCACACAGAGGGATCGGATGCCGTCTTACACGGGTTCAGTTCTTATTTTGAATAGAAATCGCTTCTCTGTTGGGAAAAATCCAGAAATCCCCAATACACTATAGTGCGTGTGCGTGTACGCGTGTGCGTGTACGCGTGTGCGTATGCTTGTCTGCGGGGGGTCTAGCGTCGGCTCTCCAACCCCGCCTTTCGACCATATGTACCACAATACATTGATTTTTTTTTTATTTGACAAGATATCTTTCTGATATCCACGTAATTCACCCGTCTCTCCAGGAACCAATTACGTCCTCTCGTTCTGCTGTTCCTTAATTTGAACATTGCTTCTATATCTTCGTTTGTCAATCCCGCCTTTTATTATCTTGGATGTCGTAATCATGTCTCTCCTATTCCTTCTTTCCTCCAGCGGAGTGAGGTCCGTGATGCTGTTGTTCTCTTAGATGATCTTAGATACTACATCTTGAGTTATGTCCTAGGTCGTCTGGTCGTCTGGTAGTGTCGTCTGGTCGTCTGGTCGTCCGGTAGGGTCGTCTGGTCGTCCAGTAGGGTCGTCTGGTCGTCTGGTAGTGTCGTCTGGTCGTCTGGTCGTCCGGTAGGTTCGTCTGGTCGTCCAGTAGGGTCGTCTGGTAGTGTCGTCTGGTCGTCTGGTCGTCCGGTAGGGTCGTCTGGTCGTCCAGTAGGGTCGTCCGGTCGTCCGGTAGGGTCGTCGGGTCGTCCGGTCGGGTCGTCCGGTAGGGTCGTCTGGTCGTCCGGTAGGGTCGTCTGGTCGTCCGGTAGGGTCGTCTGGTCGTCCGGTAGGGTCGTCTGGTCGTCCGGTAGGGTCGTCTGGTCGTCCGGTAGGGTCGCCTGGTCGTCCGGTAGGGTCGTCTGGTCGTCCGGTAGGGTCGTCTGGTCGTCCGGTAGGGTCGTCCGGTAGGGTCGTCTGGTCGTCCGGTCGGGTCGTCTGGTCGTCCGGTCGGGTCGTCTGGTCGTCCGGTCGGGTCGTCTGGTCGTCCGGTCGGGTCGTCTGGTCGTCCGGTAGGGTCGTCTGGTCGTCCGGTAGGGTCGTCTGGTCGTCCGGTAGGGTCGTCTGGTCGTCCGGTCGGGTCGTCTGGTCGTCCGGTCGGGTCGTCTGGTCGTCCGGTAGGGTCGTCTGGTCGTCCGGTAGGGTCGTCTGGTCGTCCGGTCGGGTCGTCTGGTCGTCCGGTCGGGTCGTCTGGTCGTCCGGTCGGGTCGTCTGGTCGTCCGGTCGGGTCGTCTGGTCGTCCGGTCGGGTCGTCTGGTCGTCCAGTCGGTTCGTCTGGTCGTCCGGTCGGGTCGTCTGGTCGTCCGGTCGGGTCGTCTGGTCGTCCAGTCGGTTCGTCTGGTCGTCCGGTCGGGTCGTCTGGTCGTCCGGTCGGGTCGTCTGGTCGTCCGGTAGGGTCGTCTGGTCGTCCGGTAGGGTCGTCTGGTCGTCCGGTCGGGTCGTCTGGTCGTCCGGTCGGGTCGTCTGGTCGTCCGGTCGGGTCGTCTGGTCGTCCGGTCGGGTCGTCTGGTCGTCCGGTCGGGTCGTCTGGTCGTCCAGTCGGTTCGTCTGGTCGTCCGGTCGGGTCGTCTGGTCGTCCGGTCGGGTCGTCTGGTCGTCCAGTCGGTTCGTCTGGTCGTCCGGTCGGGTCGTCTGGTCGTCCGGTCGGGTCGTCTGGTCGTCCGGTAGGGTCGTCTGGTCGTCCGGTAGGGTCGTCTGGTCGTCCGGTCGGGTCGTCTGGTCGTCCGGTCGGGTCGTCTGGTCGTCCGGTCGGGTCGTCTGGTCGTCCGGTCGGGTCGTCTGGTCGTCCGGTCGGGTCGTCTGGTCGTCCAGTCGGTTCGTCTGGTCGTCCGGTCGGGTCGTCTGGTCGTCCGGTCGGGTCGTCTGGTCGTCCAGTCGGTTCGTCTGGTCGTCCGGTCGGGTCGTCTGGTCGTCCGGTCGGGTCGTCTGGTCGTCCGGTCGGGTCGTCTGGTCGTCCGGTCGGGTCGTCTGGTCGTCCGGTCGGGTCGTCTGGTCGTCCAGTCGGTTCGTCTGGTCGTCCGGTCGGGTCGTCTGGTCGTCCGGTCGGGTCGTCTGGTCGTCCAGTCGGTTCGTCTGGTCGTCCGGTCGGGTCGTCTGGTCGTCCGGTCGGGTCGTCTGGTCGTCCGGTCGGGTCGTCTGGTCGTCCGGTCGGGTCGTCTGGTCGTCCAGTCGGTTCGTCTGGTCGTCCGGTCGGGTCGTCTGGTCGTCCGGTCGGGTCGTCTGGTCGTCCGGTCGGGTCGTCTGGTCGTCCGGTCGGGTCGTCTGGTCGTCCGGTCGGGTCGTCTGGTCGTCCGGTCGGGTCGTCTGGTCGTCCGGTCGGGTCGTCTGGTCGTCCGGTCGGGTCGTCTGGTCGCACCAACAGACGTGTTAAAAACAGTTGTATAATCGCGCCTTAAAATTCATTACAGTTTTAATTTAGCTTTAAAGGGCATCTCCCCCCCCCCCTCATGTGTTGCCGCCCCCCCCTCCTGTGTTGCCCCCCCTCCTCATGTGTTGCCGCCCCCCCCCTCCTGTGTTGCCCCCCTCCTCATGTGTTGCCGCCCCCCCCTCCTGTGTTGCCCCCCCCTCCTCATGTGTTGCCGCCCCCCCTCCTGTGTTGCCCCCCTCCTCATGTGTTGCCGCCCCCCCTCCTGTGTTGCCCCCCTCCTCATGTGTTGCCCCCCTCCTCATGTGTTGCCGCCCCCCCCCATCCTGCGTTGCCCCCCCTCCTCATGTGTTGCCCCCCCTCCTCATGTGTTGCCGCCCCCCCTCCTGTGTTGTCCCCCCTCCTCATGTGTTGCCCCCCCTCCTCATGTGTTGCCGCCTCCCCTCCTGCGTTGCCCCCCTCCTCATGTGTTGCCGCCCCCCTCCTGTGTTGCCCCCCCTCCTCATGTGTTGCCGCCCCCCCCCCTCCTGCGTTGCCCCCTCCCATAATAGCCACCCCACGGCTATTATGCTCCCCCACTAGTTTCTTTCATAAAGCAACAGCCCGATTTCCAGACCAGTATTTACCCAGGTCTCTTCCTAGTCCAAACTTCTCCCTTTTATAACCATTAATTAGAGTTTGATTTTATGTTAAGATATTTAAGAGTGAACAAACATTCCCTCTGGGTGACCCTATCATCCACTTGAGTCTTTCTACAGGATGTAAGTGTTTCGGAATCATTAGGTTTCACTTTCTTTACAACAACAACAAAAGAATGTTCTCTACTCCTTCTCTTATCTATGCGGGCTCTGCCGGGGTTCTCTAAGCCTGACGCGGGCTCCGCCGGGGTTCTCTAAGCCTGACGCGGGCTCCGCCGGGTTCTCTAAGCCTGACGGGGGGTCCGCCGGGTTCTCTAAGCCTGACGCGGGCTCCGCCGGGGTTCTCTAAGCCTGACGCGGGCTCCGCCGGGTTCTCTAAGCCTGACGGGGGGTCCGCCGGGGTTCTCTAAGTCTGACGCAGGCTCCGCCGGGGTTCTCAAAGCCTGACGGAGGCTCCGCCGGGGTTCTCTAACCCTGACGGGGGCTCCGCCGGGGTTCTCTAAGCCTGACGGGGGCTCCGCCGGGGTTCTCTAAGCCTGACGGAGGCTCCGCCGGGTTCTCTAAGCCTGACGGGGGCTCCGCCGGGGTTCTCTAAGCCTGACGGAGGCTCCGCCGGGGTTCTCTAAGCCTGACGCGGGCTCCGCCGGGGTTCTCTAAGCCTGACGCGGGCTCCGCCGGGGTTCTCTAAGCCTGACGGGGGCTCCGCCGGGGTTCTCTAAGCCTGACGGAGGCTCCGCCGGGTTCTCTAAGCCTGACGGGGGCTCCGCTGGGGTTCTCTAAGCCTGACGCGGGCTCCGCCGGGTTCTCTAAGCCTGACGGGGGCTCCGCCGGGGTTCTCTAAGCCTGACGGAGGCTCCGCCGGGGTTCTCTAAGCCTGACGCGGGCTCCGCCGGGGTTCTCTAAGCCTGACGCGGGCTCCGCCGGGGTTCTCTAAGCCTGACGGGGGCTCCGCCGGGGTTCTCTAAGCCTGACGGGGGCTCCGCCGGGGTTCTCTAAGCCTGACGCGGGCTCCGCCGGGGTTCTCTAAGCCTGACGCGGGCTCCGCCGGGTTCTCTAAGCCTGACGGGGGCTCCGCCGGGGTTCTCTAAGCCTGACGGGGGCTCCGCCGGGGTTCTCTAAGCCTGACGCAGGCTCCGCCGGGGTTCTCGAAGCCTAACGGGGGCTCCGCCGGGGTTCTCTAAGCCTGACGCGGGCTCCGCCGGGGTTCTCTAAGCCTGACGCGGGCTCCGCCGGGGTTCTCTAAGCCTGACCCCAGCCAGGATCCTGAGGATTTATACTGTGGATTTGTCCCGCCGCCTGTGTCTTGCCTGTGCAGGATTTGAGAGGTGCTCTGAGGCGTTGATCGGGAAGGGAGTGTTCTTAGTGGCGCTGTCTGGGGATGGAGCGCCCCCCCCCCTCATCAACAACCCCCCTTCAACAACCCCCCATCAACCCCCCCCCCCCCATCAACGCTGAATGCAGAATAATTTTTACACTAAATTAAATTAATTGAAATTCCGTTAGCCACGTTTAGATATTTAAATATTGCAGGAGTTATTTGATTGGTGGAGCGGCGAGCTGGCAGGTGACGTCATCAGACCCTTAGTGACGTTCATTAATTGGTAATGAAGTCACTGGAGCAGTGGTGACGTCACTTCATGACCGTGACGTCACTAAGTACTGATTAAGCGCCATCATATTGTCAGTTGACAGGAGTGCCGTGGTTGGGTTGTTAGCGAGTGGTAGTCTACCCCCACGCACGTGCACACGTGTACGTGGAGGATCCCGCCCCACACACGCACGTGTACGTGGAGGATCCCGCCCCACACACGCACGTGTACGTGGAGGATCCCGCCCCACACACGCACGTGTACGTGGAGGATCCCGCCCCACACACGCACGTGTACGTGGAGGATCCCGCCCCCCACACGCACGTGAACGTGGAGGATCCAGCCCCACACACGCGTGCACGTGGAGGACCCAGCCTCCACACCCCCACAGGTGGAGGAGAGCGACGTGGGTACTCTGGTGGAAGGCGTGACACTGGGGGACCGCCGGCGGGGCGCTGACACCTGCCCGCCCGCCGGGACCTTGCTGCCGGCCACCCTCAACCCAACATGTCGTACTCTAAACCATAATTCATTGTAATAATTCATTGTGTCGGGGGACAGGAAGCCAGAGTATATATTCATTCACGCTAGGCTATTATCAAGCCCGCCCCCTCCCCCCATAAGGTCGAATTACTAACCCCGCCCAGGATACAACCCCCCTTAATTAATTAACAAGTTGACTAACTCCTGGGGTACCTACTTACTGCTAGGTGAACAGATGCATTAGGCGAAAGGAAATGTATGTATTCAACCATTTACCTAAATCTTTGCTTAAATCATCTGCCTTATTCGAAAGGAACCTAAATTAGTAGACATTTGGATCACTGTACACTACCTACGTGAGACTAGCCTTAGAATATGCAGCCCATCGTGGAGCCCCAGCCACTACAAACACACAGCGAGGCTCAGTACTACGAGGGAATGGGACTGAAAACAGGATGAATGAACCAGACCTGACGTCGCTACAAATGAGGAAGACAAGAGTAGACGTGAGAGAGACATTCAATATTGACTCGTGATCCTAGGGTCCGGGTTCGATCCCCGGCGATGGCGGGAAAAAATGGGCACAGTTTCTTTCACCTTGATGCCCCTGTTACCTAGCAGTAAATAGGTACCTGGGAGTTAGTCAGCTGTCACGGACTGCTTCCTGGGAGTGTATGTAGGGGGGGGGGATTAGTTAGTAACAGTTGATTGATTGACAGCTGAGAGGCGGGGCCGGAAGAGAAGAGGTCCACCCCTACAAGCACAACGAGGTGAACATTACTAGGTGAATACACACACACAGGACCTCGAAAGGGGGCCTCGTAGCCTGGTGGATAGCGCGCAGGACTCGTAATTCTGTGGCGCGGGTTCGATTCCCGCACGAGGCAGAAACAAATGGGCAAAGTTTCTTTCACCCTAAATGCCCCTGTTACCTAGCAGTAAATAGGTACCTGGGAGTTAGTCAGCTGTTACGGGCTGCTTCCTGGTGTGTGTGTGTGGTGGTGTGGGAAAAATAAAGTAGTTAGTATACAGTTAATTGTCAGTTGAGAGGCGGGCCGAAAGAGCAAAGCTCAATCCCCGCAAACACAACTAGGTGAATACACACGCGCACACACACACACACACACACACACACACACACACACACACAATTGGACTCACAGAAACAAAACTCTCAGGAATCATAACGAATGCGGTGTTTCCCCACATTGTAATAAGGAAAGGGAGGGAAGGAAGGAGGCGGAGTGGCTCTACTAACGAGAAAGGAATGGAGTTTCAAGGAGATGGCCATCCCGGGCTGTGAGGAGTTCAGAGACTACATAACAGGCACCATAACAATGGGAGGACCAAGAATAGCAGCAGCAGTAATATACAACCCTCCACCAAATGACAGAAGACCCAGTCAAGAGTATGACAACAACAACATGGCAGTTAACACTATAATGGAGAGGGCAGCCTCTGCTGCCTGTAGAAATAGATCCCACCTGCTCATCATGGGCGACTTCAATCACGGAAGGATAGACTGGGAGAACAAGGAACCGCATGGAGGTGAGGATACGTGGAGAGCCAAACTATTGGAGGTGGTGACAAGAAACTTTTTAACCCAGCATGTCGGAGAACCCACAAGGATGAGAAGCAATGACGAACTAGCGAGATTCGACCTAGTCTTCACTCTGAACGACACCGACATAAGAGAAATCGGTTTCGAGGCCCCAGTAGGAATGAGCGACCACAGTGTACTGACGTTTAAGTATCGGGTCAAAGAAGGGTTAATGTACTCAAGGAATTAACCTGCAAACAAAAGGCTGGCATTCCGGAAGGGAAACTATGAGGAGATAAGAAAATTCCTAACAGACATAACATGAGAAACAGAGCTCAGGGGAAAGACGGCCCAAGACATGATGGACTACATCACACAGAAGAGTAAGGACGCAGCAGACAAGTTTATCCCGGTCCAAAAGGAAAAAATTGAAATGCAAATGAGAAACCCATGGTTTAATCAGAGATGTAGGCTAGCTAAGCAGCAAAGTAAAAAGGCATGGAGAAACTGTAGATATAACAGGACACTTGAGAGCAGAGAAAGATAACAGAATGCCAGGAATGAATATGTCAGGATGAGAAGAGAGGCAGAAAGACAATACGAAAGTAACATCGCAAGCAAGGCAAAGACTCAACCTAAACTGCTGCATAGCCACATTAGGAGAAAAACAACAGTAAAGGAACAAGTAATGAAAGTTAGGATAGGGGCAGAAGGATTCACTACGAACAACA